ATTTAATCTTTTTTCTTATTAGGTTTTATTATTTTATTATTTATAATTTTAATCAAAGAATAGGTATTGATTATATCTAAAAAAAAAAATGTGTTTTGAGATAGATTTCAAACAAGAACGTTAATTGGTTGTCAATTTTTAAAAATACTAAAGACCAACTTACTAAAACCAAAAAGTTATCGTGGATCGTTCTATAAGTAAAGAAAAGTGATATAGTTTTCTAGTGAGTAAAAAATCTTTCTTTATTACGCTTTTTTTCGTTTTCTTGATGAAAAAGAATTTTGTCGCGTAGTTCCACAAGGTAAAATATTAGTATGATTTATATTTCAACGGTTTTGAGTGGAACAGTGTAAAATAATCTAATACTAATGCGTTTAACACAAAAACCAGTAAAAGTTCTAAAATTGACAACTCTAAAAATAGTGTATTATGTATCAAGTTTGATAAACGCCATTTTATACACGAATTTAATTTAGGCACGAGCGAGCTTGCGAGCGAGTGCTTAAATTAATGAGTGTATAGAAAATTTTAGAAACGAGGTGCATACTATACTTTTTCTACGACAAATACTTATTATTATCTTAAAATGATTTAAATCAAAAATTTGTATAGAGCGCCATCTATGAAACAATAGGGGAATCTGTGTGTTACCGACAAATGTCAAATTTTTCAACACAATTATAAAGGTTATAAATCGAATATTTCTTGAAAATTGACAGTTTTTCACAGTGAAAGTAAAGAAAATGTTTTATGAGCACTTTACAGTGGAGTCCGTGCCCGAATTTAAGTTATAGTTTACTGCCGGCGAAATTAAAAGGTCAGTACAATGTTCATATAAACTTTTCAAATATTGGCGTTGAGAAACTATTTAAAACTTTTGTATTTTTGTATTTTTGTATTGAAGTAATAAAAATTTTCACATTTAGTATTATTTTACAAGGCAATTTATTTTAACGATTGTATGAAATTTGACAACTGTCAACTAACTTAAAACTAACTTCAGCCCGTGACTAAAAACCTGTTGCTAACTTCAGCCCGTGACTAAAGCGCCATAAAGCCACAACTTGTCAATGTGTATTTAAAAGGTCATGGAAACATATACAATAAAGGGCGTTTTAAAGGTGGGAGTAGAAAAAATTATTTAAAAAATACTACATACTAGGGTGTGTCATTTTTGAGCAACTTTTTTTTTAACTAAAAAACAGGCTAAAAACTTTCAGGACGGTGAAAAAAGAAGCCTCTAAAAATTTGAGCTCTTAATAATACCATTAAGTAGTGCTTGTTCCTAACTTTCCATTTTCTATTTAAATAACATGGAAAAAAAATCTTTTTTTTTATTTTTGTACCTTGAAACTTAAGCATTGTAAAAACGAACTATAAAATTATTTTGGTTGGAAATTGAACGCTCTACAAAAAAGTTCTAATTTATTTTTTCATAGAGTAAGCCGTTCTGAAGGTATTCAAACTTGCAAATGTATGAAATTATGACTTTTATTTTATTAAACTAATACTTTTTTTATGTCATAAAAATTATTTTAAGAAAAAATAATTATTTTCGTATAGAAAGAAAATAATACTTTCATCTCAATTTTTTTTCCATTTTATTTTATTTACTATCAAAAAAAGTTATTTGTGTTCAATAAATTTGTTCAATAATTATAATACATAGAAGTCGATAGCTCTGATAAAAGATTATATCGGCTCAGTCGGTATATTACCGTTCGGATTACACAGTGACTAGAGGCACCGCTAACGTACCGCGATTTAAAATGTTAAAGGCAACTTTAAGTTCACACAACGAAAAACGTACGTAATATTAATAAAAAAAAACATTAACGCAATGATTTTTTACATTAATTTTGCTCCGATGCTCAAAATCATTACCACAATGCTTTTAAAGTATTACTCAATGTACAAGGACGTAATATTAATACTTGGCGGACATTGATTTTAATCAGGAAGATCTCAAATAAAAGTACTGATATTAATGACCATTGACATGGATTAATGTCCTAGTACATTAATTCTATGCCCAGTAAACATCAACCAATTAATAAATTTTTAATCAATTAACAATTAAAGAACATTATCCCAATCACCTAATATACATTAATTAATGATCTGTTAGCATTATCATAATGCAAAGAAGCATTAATAGTAGGCCTGAAATAAGGGATGGAAAAATATCGATAAATCGATATATCGATATATCGATATCGGTATACCGGAATGGATCGATATATATAAATATATATATATATACAGGGTATCTCAAAAGTCAAGGACAGCAGAAAAGGGGTGGATAGAGGATGGAATTTTAAGTCGATTGAAAAACGGCAAAGACCATTCGAATTAGAATCCCATCCTCTATCCACCCCTTTTCTGCTGTCCTTAACTTTTGAGATACCCTGTATATATGTAGATAAATTATTACACTTACCTTAAGTTTTAACATTAAATCAATTTTTGTATATATGTAGATAAATTATTACACTTACCTTAAGTTTTAACATTAAATCAATTTTTTTGTTGATCAGTTAACAAAAAGAGTTAGAAATATGTAAACAAATATATTAGTAATTATTACTATTAATATTACTTATGTGGTAATGTTCTCTTTAGCCAGTTCCCTTTAAAGAAGTTCCCAAACATTTTCTACAGGGTTTATGTCCGGGCCACCGCAAAACTGGAACTGGAACTACATATTTCTAGTCCTTTTTGTAAATATTATGAAACTAAAGATTAATATAAAAAAATAATAAAAACCCTTGGTAATTTAAAATCCTTATTTTTATTACAAAAAATTTATGAAACATAAATAAACCTTTTTAACATTGTCTTACTTACATTCTAAAAAGTCACATAATACATGGATTTTGGAAAATGTATTAGAATGCTTCATTTAAAAAAAGTTTTTTTCAATATATGTATGACCAGACCATGACACATTCTTCTGGGAAATAAAGGTTAAAAATACTTGCACTTTTTTATATTTCATATAATAATAAACCTAAACGCACAACAATCGGGATGGGCGGGCAAGCACGTCGCAACACGATTAACAGGAATACTAAACTGTTGTTAAATTGTTTTCTTACTTGCATTTTTAGGTGGTGGGAAACAACAGGGCCTAATATTAATGTATTTAGATATTGGCTCAACGTATTTGGCGATAGAGTTATGATTTGTTGTATTATTTAATATGTTAGAGCATTATATTCATGCTAAGGTACATAAGTTGATGTCTACATAGTCATTAATGTAATAATTTTAGATTATTAAATTATACCATTTAGAGTATTAATCTATTAAGCCTTGACATTAATTTTATCACTGAGCAATGATTAACTAATGTACTCTAGGTTATTGATTTAATGTAAATAATCATCGTATTAATGTAAAATATCATTGTCTTAATGTATTTTGGCTAAAAAATAATAAAATTCCTGCACTAGGATAATGACCAGGCAGACATTGTGACAATCCAATAATACATTAACTCATATTTTTTAAGCATTATCATAATTACTTGATTGCATTAATACTATGAAAAGGACATTATCGTAATGATTTTGCACTTAATGATCGTAGGACATTAATATCAGGTATGATATTTTTTTCTGTGTTTGAATACCTTCAGAACGGCTCACTATGAAAAAATATATTGAAACTTTTTTGTAGAGCGTTCAATTTCCTACCAAAATAATTTTTCCGTTCGTTTTTACAATGCTCAAATGTCAAGCTACAAAAATAAGAAAAAAGAAAAATTTTTTTTCCATGTTATGGAAAGTTAGGAACAGGCACCACTTAAGAGCTCAAATTTTTAGAGGTTTCCTTTTTCACCTTCCTGAAAGTTTTTAGCCTGTTTTTTAGTTGAAAAAAAAAGTTGCTTAAAAATGACACACCCTACTACATACGGACTTGGAACCATGTAACCTTATAATCTTAAAACTAAACGAAATTATAAAACGGGATTTATATTGCGATGTTCAAGTTTTATTTGTAATTAAGTGAATAACAAATAAAAATGAGTATAAAACTTGAAATTTGATTAAACAAATCTATAGATGCGGTAATTTTATTTTAAATTAATAAAATATGCATTTAATCAAATTAAAATTGGAAGTTATATAGGTATACCTATATAACTTCCAATTTTAATTTAATTAAGAAACTATAGTTTCTTAATTTTGTTAGAATAAATTAAAAGTACAAAAAATGGCTTTGTAGGTTACTTATTGGAGAAACAATTTAAACAATTGTTTATTTTTTCAAATTTACTAAGTATTTTAAACAACATTTTTTCACTTGCTTTCTTGCTTTATTAAAGATTCTTAATCCGTCTTCTAAATTCTAATTTAGGCTTTTGTAAATTGAGTGTTTAAAAGTTATTAAAAATTTGAATATACCTGCAATTAATAACAAAAAACTTCATATAAAAAAAATAATTTGTAACTAAAAAATCAAGGGTCAATTTAAATCAAATTAACCAATATAATTTTAAAAGGTTGCTAACAATTTTTTTTTATTATTTTTTAACCTACATATATGTTTGTACTTTTCACAGAGTTCCAAACAGGTACCCACCTATAGGTATATATTTATTAATTTTTGAGATTTTTGTAAGCTGTCATTTTGTATTGTATCGTCCGCCTATTTTGCATTTTACAGAGGTTTGCATACAACCCTGTAGCATTTTGGTATTTAAAGATATTTAGTTTAAACACACACAACTAAAATGTTGGGTAATTTTCGGAATAAAATCATGAAATCATTGATTTTACATAATTATTCCTCCTATTATTTTAAATTTTAATTCAATGAATTTCCATCTGTATAAAACCTATTTAAATCTTATTATATAATATATAATTTATATTTACTTGTATTATATGCAAAACAGTAAACTAACAGGCAACACATTATAATACTACAAATAATTGCGGTTTTTACCAATTTATATTAAACCTTGATTTATCTTTTGTCATTATTTTTTTCAGGCAATTGAAGGCAGAATTACAAGCTCTGCGCAGAAAAGGGGCTATAAAAGTATCCTCAGAGTGGAACGCAAACGGGCCAGATCCGGACCGTTGCTGTGGCCGATGCAGGACCGAATTGGGCAGAGTTATCAACCGAGGGGCATACTGTAAGGCCTGTCGTTTACGGGTTTGCAAAAACTGTCGCGAATATACGCTTAAAGCTACCGAGTGGGTGTGCACCGTTTGCCATAAACATATGTAAGTAATTTTTTATAATTAAATTAATTAAGTTAAAATCCTATTAAGACAAAAAAAAACAGAATAAATTTTAAATTTAACATTGAATTAAAGCATAATTCAAAAAAACAATTTATTAAATTGTTTTTTTGAATTTTAAATTTAAATTGAATTAAACGCCTTTCATGTTAATTTTACAACTTACCTACTAGGTACATGTTTATTTTCGAAAAAGTTTTTTGGTAATTAATTATAATTATATTCCTAAAGCAATGGGTAATTTCAAGGGGATTTGTTAACACAATTGTATATTCCTGAATCGCCACTTATTTTTAGTAAATCTTACCTTTACTTATGGATCCAACGCGAAATAAAAGTAGGTGGATAAGTAGTAGGGACTAAGAAAACCCTCGTAGAGTTTGGTGATATTAGCTCTCGTTTTGTAAAATTAAGTATTATATCATGAAAAAAAGCGAAATATGGTAAATCCTGACCAGTGGCGGACAGATTCAAATTTAGTGCAACAAATTATTTAATAAACAACAATTTGATGATCCAATCTAAAACTTCTATCTTTATGGCATTTTAGTCACTGGCTGAAGTTAGCAACAGGTTTTTAGTCAAGGGCTGAAGTTAGCTTTAAGTTAGTTGACAGTTGTTAAATCGTTAAAATAAAGTGCCTTTCTTGTAAAATGTGAAAATTATTTTATTATCACCCATAATATAACAAGTGGTATGATTACCATCGATTATTAATCATACCACGAGTTATATTTAGTGAGAAAATATAATGAATTTTAGGATTTAGCGAATTGTAAGTTTGACATTTGGAATTAAAATGTGCTTTAAAATATAAAAAGACTTTAATAAACCTAATTTACTCAAACCTGTCTTAATTTCATTATCGTTTACACCAACCCATCGATCTTTTAGAGTTTATAATTCATTATTTTAATCATATAACAAACACAGGATTTAAATTTTAACAAATGTCAAATCAAGGAAAGTGTCAAAATCCTTAGTAACGTGTAAACAAGGTGATAAAAAATATTGTCACTGTGATAAAATGCGTAACTATGGAATACTGGCATTTTATTGGTTCTAATAGTAATGAATTGTATTGTCTTAATACAAAAATACATTAATTTAAGCACTCACTCGCGAGCTCGCTCGTGCCGAAATTAAATTCGTTTCTAAAATGGCGGTTATTAAACTTGATACAAAATATACCATTTTTCATAGGAGGCTATGGATTTATTAAATATTTATTTTAGAATTATTAAGAATTATTTAATAGGAGGCAATAGATTTAATTTTTCATTTCCTTATTTGCTCTAAAACAAAAATTAATGGTCAATATATTTTTTTTAAGGAAGGAGAGCCCCTTATAAACAATAACTTTTTTTGTAAAATTAATAATAAAAAAAGTAGTAGACATTGTCTACTAGACAACTCAAGCGGACACAATGTATACAAGGAGAGCCCCTTATAAACAATAACTTTTTTTGTAAAATTAATAATAAAAAAAGTAGTAGACATTGTCTACTAGACAACTCAAGCGGTCACAATGTATACATTGTGTCCGCTTGAGTTGTCTAGTAGACAATGTCTACTACTTTTTTATTATATATAATTATAAACTCTCCTTGCTGATTTATCAGGCAAAACAGCTGAAGCTAAAGTGCTAAAATTTTGACAGTGAATTCCTATAATAATATGGACAACCGCTAAGAAAGGACTGGGACACTCCAAAATTCAATTATAATCCCGGCGCATTCGCCATTTTTGAGTATTGAACGGCTGAACGGATTTTGATGAAAGATGGTTTGAAGGTGTCTTAGATTTTAAAACGGGACAGAAATGGGACGGAAACAGAACAAACCAAGATTTTGTTTAATTATTTTCCCTTGGAAGCACAAGAGCGAAGACGCGGGTATACAGGAAGTTATAATATTTTGCAAATGGTACTAAAATAGGCTTTTTATTACATCTAACCATTTAAATTTAAAGAAATATTTGGGGTTTTTTTAAATTTTTTGTTTTCCTCTCCAAGGCTTTATAAAAATTAAAACTTTTACAAAAACGGGAGTTAAAATTTTGTCTTCCTGTTAAAAAGTAATAAAAACTATTTTTGTCCTATTTTAGTTTTTTAAAATGACGAAATAAAGGCGTAAAACATAATAATCAAATTCCAATATATTTATATTATTACATTGTATACATTGAGATAAATAAACTATCTAAAATTGTTGATTAACATTTTTTCCTAATTACTTAATTAATTTATATAATTTTAAATTGTAAGTATATTTATTAATATATATTATATATTTATTTAAATTGTAAGTATTAAATTTAATAATTTTTTAAACGAATTCATGCAATTATCAAACATGTTTTCTCTGAAATGTTTTGGCTTAATGGACGATATATATATCTACCAGTAAAAAGCTTAATTGATTGTTTAATTTTTTAGTATTTATTATTTTTAATTATTTAAATATTTAGATAACAAAATATGTTTATCTTTAAGCGTTCTATAACTTTAACTCTATAATTGAGTCTTTATTTTTGTTAACACTTACTACTAAAGTGATTAATTATCGCCCAGGCTGTAAAAATAATTTGGACCAATCGTGAAATTTTTCACCTTCTAGTCTGTAAAATACCCGTTTATACCAATCAAAACATTTCACTATTGTCAGATCTACCTAACCTCACTTTCCACTTTTATTAATCATTATTATATTAATTACATTAATTAATTAAAATGATTTAAATCAAAAATTTATATAGAGCGCCATCTATGAAACAATAGGGGAATCTTTGTTTAATCGTCAAATGTCAAATTTTTACACAATTATAAAGGTTATAAATCGAAATGTATTTCTTGAAAATTGACAGTTTTTCACAGTGAAAGTAAAGAAAATGTTTTATGAGCACTTTACAGTGGAGTCCGTGCCCGAATTTAAGTTATAGTTTACTGCTGGTGAAATTAAAAGGTCAGTACATGTACTATGTTCATATAAACTTTTCAAATATTGGCGTTGAGAAACCATTTAATACTTTTGTATTTTTGTATTGAGATAATAAAATAGTTTTTACATTTAGTATTATTTTACAAGAAAGGCAATTTATTTTAACGATTTTATGACATTTGACAACTGTCAACTAACTTAAAACTAACTTCAGCCCGTGACTAAAAACCTGTTGCTAACTTCAGCCCCTGACTAAAGCGCCATAAAGCCACAACTTGTCAATATGTATTTAAAGGGTCACTTAGTGTCATGGAAACATGTACGATAAAGGGCGTTTTAAAGGTGGAAGTAGAAAAAAGATATAAAAGGTCAAAATTGGACTAGTTTTGAAAACATTATTTAAAAAAAAAAATTTAACTTGTTGAAAATCAACTGATTTACATCCTTAGTTTTTTTGATAAATGTAAGCGTTTCAAAGATAATCGCGCGCGAAATAATAATATGTTTTGTTAAATAAAATAATTCATTCTGTAACACTTAATATATGTTAGAACGGTCATATTTCGCAAAAGGAGTAGAAAATAGTATATTCTGTAACAAGTTTGGAATACGGCATATTCCGCTCGAGTGAAAAGTTTGTCACACGAGCCGAGGCGAGTTTGACGATTTTACGATAGCGGAATATGGGAATATGGGAGTAGAAAAAGTATATTCCTTAATTATGGTCTAGTTGTTAGGATACCTAACTCTTAATATGACAAGGTTTTTTTTTAACTTTTTCCATTAATAATTATAATTCATTAATATAATTGTTGTAATATGATTATTATTATTATGACAAATTAATGTTTTAAATTTTCTCATCCAGGAGGTTCAGGTACCGGAATATATTTTTCAAAAGGAATATTTTGAAATAAAATTTCCGAATAAAAGTGAATAAAAGTTTATTTTAATTAATAAACACATAAATTTTATATATTTAAGATATTTAAAAAATCGAAATGAAACACAACTGTTTCTTATATTTTGGGAGGGGGTTTAAACTTAAGTTATACCCTGACGGGTTTTTGGTAAAAAGTTTAAGGATTTCGTTTTTATTTTAAAATGAGTTTTAAAAATTTTTTTTAACAAAAAATGTAGGGGTATTTTTCACCACAATTATTGTCTTTGAGTCGATGCTCTAGTACGAAAATTCAAAATATATTTTGCGCTAAAGTACCAAAAATGGCGTTTTATCTATTTTTAACCCCGACATTTTTTTTAACCAGCACTGTATTAAGAAAATTCATCTCGAGAAAATGTACAAAATTCATATAAACTTTTTTTATTATGATGGACCGTTTAGGAGTTTGTGCGAAATTTCGAATTAAAATTTAACGAAGTTACGCGATATAACTTCTAAACGTTCTCTCGAAGGAAAAATTTGAATTTTATAGTTTTTTTTAAGATAAACAACATGTTCATTCATTGTAGAGTAAAATGCCCCCTACAATTTTTGTTTACAAATTTTTTTCCTAAAACCTACAGTTTTAAAAGAAAATGTGATAAAAAAACAAAAAAATTAGTTTCCAGTAAAATTTGTTGACCTTATTCAAGAGGGGATCTTGTAGGTATATAACACTTTTTTAACCTAAGGTTAAGCAAAATTCGACCAAATTTTATAAGATAATATTTCCATTAACTAAATCCTAATAACATAACTTGGACCCACAGGTCTGTGCTTGGACCACCCTGTTTACAAATTTCATCTCTTACTACTCTTACTACTAAAAACATTGTTTCATAAAAACTGGACTTGAATTTTTGCTGGCTCTTTTAAAGACTAAACATTATATTCTGCTTATGGGGGAGTATCAGCAAATATCTGTACAAAGTTTGGTATATTAAAATATTGTAAAACCCACATATTGCTCATTATGTTAAAATAATATTTGTTTCTTAATATTAAGTATTAATAAAAATACCGTCATTTAATTAATACTTAATTTATAGAAATAAAATATTTCATAAAAATGTGGTTTTATAGTATATTAACATAAGTAA